CATCTGTAATTCTTGATGATACTATGGAAAGTATTTTTACTAGAACTGTAAGTGCAATTTTTAAGAAAGTTAAAAGTACTATTAGGTGAGGTCCTAAAAGCTATCCTAGAAATGAGAAGGAGGAGGTGATAAAAGAGGAGTTGGAGAAAGAAAAGGAGAAGAAGATATGGGAGGAGGAGAAAAAAGGAGGAGAGGAAAATGGGGAGATTTTAAATAAATATCAGGGGCTGGTGAGATAGTTCAGCAGACTGAGCACCTGCTTAGGTGAGCGCAGGGACCAGGGTGTGACGCCGCACCAGTCCCACCACTGAGCGTGCTGAGCCATTGCAACTAGGCATGGTGGCGCACGCCTGTAAACCCAGTGCTGGGGAGGCTGAGACAGGAGGATCACTACGAGTCCGAGCTGCACAGTGAGGCCCCGTACCTAATACATAAAACAGTAAATAAATAAATATCAGGCATATATCAGGATGTAGAATTTTATACATAAATGAGTATAGTAATGAACTTGTGGGATATATTTTATAATAAATTTTTGTCCATTTTTTTTAACTTTGACAGAATGACTAAACAATTCCTACAAAAACTCTGTAAGCAGCACAAGCTTTACCTGACGCCTGCACTGAATGATGTGCTGTATTTACACTTTAAAGGTAAGGACCTTGAAGGGGACATTTAATGTTAGTTAGAAAGATCTTAATGCTATCAAAAACTGCCTACAAAGGTCATCTTTAGCACTCAGATTTTATTTATTTATTTTGTACTCATATTTAAGTGGAAATGTCAGAGTTCAGGAAAGATCTATGAAAAAATAATATTTCTATTCAGGAAAAGTCTTGTTTTTCTAGAGTTTAGACTTATGGGTATCAAGAAAATACAGTGGTATCTTTTACGCTATGTTGTCTAAGAACATATGATTTTTCCAAGGCTGAAAGCTAGCTTATGGCTCCTCTGGGCTTGTGAACAGTGGGAGAGTGGAGTGGAAAGCAAGGATGAGGCTCTAGGGTGCCTCCCAGAGGGAGAAGTGCGAGCGGCAGCACCGCTGGGCTTGGTGTCTCGTGTCACAGCTAAGCCGAGAGCAGCTGCGTGGCCAGGGCTCTGCTTAACAATGACAAAGAGCGGCGAGAGCTCCCAGTCTGTGCTGAGCTTGGTGACCAACCTGCTCTATCGTCAGTGTTTTGTTTCTTTGTTTGTTTGTTTATTCAGCAAGTATTTGCCGCAAGCTGTCTGTGCTCTGGGGACTATGCTCGGTGCCAAGAGCGCAGAATAGATGTGGCGCAGTGCCTTCGGTGGCTTGGGGGTTGGGATGGCCACCAGAGGGAAGGGGCTGAGCCAGGGAGGTGCATGCCGGGCCTCTGCAGCACAGGCTTCTGGGGCTTGGATAGCACCTTACTGGTCTTCTAACTTCCAAAGCTGTCCACCCAGAACCTAAGTGTAGCAGTGGGTAACGTGACCTGCGAGGACAGGTCCCTGGACATTGACCCTGGGGGAAGAAGACCCAGCAAGTTAGGCCAAGCAGAAAGACTCAGAGAGGTGAGGAACCCAGGGAGAGGTGTCTGCATTACTTATTGTAATCCTGCAACTTAGCAAATTAAAACCCAAGTTCATTAGCTCGCGCCTTTTCTGAGGGCCACAGTCCAGGGGTGGGTAGCTGAGTGCTTTTGGCTGGGGTCACCTATGAGACTGCAGTGCGACAGTCAGCTGGCATTTGTCACTGAAGCCTGCTGGAGCCAGAGAATTCCATGCTCAGCCCTGCAGGGGAAAAGTAGGAGAGTGACAGTTTGGACCTACTCTGTGCTGATTCAGATGGTAAGCAGTTTGAAATAGAGGGCAAGAGACAGTGATGGCCTGTTGGGTCCCACTACCGAAGCTAGGCATGGCCGGATCCCGGGCTCGCCGTTCTTCCCACCAGCCTTCTCTGCTTTTCCCTGCCACAACTCCTCTGTGCTGGTCCTTCAGGGTGGACTCGCCCCCATTCACTGCCATCCAGCCTCCGGGCAGGTGGCTGCTGCAGTCCCAGGCACTGCCGGACCGAGTGGGCAATTCTGGCAGAAAGACCCCTTCTTTCCAAGGAAGCCAGCAGAACTCCCCAAGTTTACCAACACTAGGTGTGACCAGCTCCAAATCAATCACTGGCCTCTGCCACCCAGAGACCCATGGGGCAGTAGTAGGAGAGCAATTGCAGTTCAAAGAAAAGTCACTGGATGAGAAGGGGTGGTTCCTAGGAAGGTGTCTTAGTCTCATCAGGGCTGCTACAGAGGCTGGAAAGTCCAGGGTCGAGGCTCTAGCAAATTTAATATGCAGTGAGGACCCCTTTCTGGATTATAGTCAGAGCCTTCTGTTTGGGTTCTCACATGGTGTGGGGGAGAGGGAGCCCTCAGAAGCCTCCTGTAAGGGCACTAACCCCATTTGTGACGGTGGGCTCCATGCTCCTGACCCTGTCACCTCCCCAAGGCTGCCACTTCCTGCTACTATCATATCCGGAACTCGGAATTCAATGTATGGCCAGGAGAGGTGGTGCAGGCCTGTAACCGCAGCACGCAAGGAGGCTAAAGCAAGGTCATGATTTGTGCCCAGCCTAGGCAACTTAGCAGCCTAATGTGACAATGTGACCCTGTCTCAAAAGCTAAGATAAAGTGGCTAGGGATGTAGGTCAGTACGAAGGCTCTGTGTTCAATCCCCAGTACCAAAAAAGATTTCAACATATGAATTATTATTCTTATTACCATTATTTTGGTACTGGGAATTGAACTCACACTTGACAGGCAGGCGCTATGCCAGACAGCTATATCCCCAGCCCTCACCATAGGAATTCTGAGGAGACACAGATGTTCATTTCCTAAATGCGGACAAAAATAAGGGTGGCCTTGAGCCCTCTGCTCTGTGTATCAGGAACCTGGCTGAAACCCCTTTTCTTCTCCCCAGGATTTGACTGCATTGAGAACCTAGAGGAGTACACGGGCCTGCGCTGTCTCTGGCTGGAGTGCAACGGGATACAAAAAATCGAGAACCTGCAGGCCCAAGCTGAGCTGCGCTGCCTCTTCCTGCAAGTGAATTTGATTCATAAAATCGAGAACCTGGAGCCTCTGCAGAAGCTGGATGCTCTGAACCTCAGCAACAACTACATCAAGACCATTGAGAACCTGTGTAAGAGCTTCCGCAGCCTTTCCTGCCCCTGCCGCCACCTCCCGGGGAAGGAGGCTCTCGGGCTGCTGCCGGGTGGGGGCTGCTGCGGCCCCCGGCCGTTCACTCTGTATGCTCCCTTCCAGCGTGCCTGCCGGTCCTGAACACACTGCAGATTGCCCACAACCGCCTGGAGACGGTGGAAGACATCCAGCACCTAAAGGAATGCTTGCAACTTTGCGTGCTTGACCTTTCCCACAACAAGCTGAGTGATCCGGAGATCCTGCGTGTCCTCGAAAGCATTCCTGATTTGGTAAAAGCAAACAAAACAAAACAACGAACTTGCATCATTTTATGTCTTCTTGCAGTCCTCCTTGGCCTCTTCCTTGCTTCTGTCCTCCTTTCTTTTCTTTTGCTTCCTCTTTTTCCTTCTTTCTTCTTTGTGTTTTTAGCTGGAACATCTTAAATATCAGCTGTCATGTCACCCACAAATATTTCAGAGTATGTGTCTGACACAGAGGGACTTTTAAAACATAATCACAATAATACTATTATACTTGAAACATATTAACCACATTGAATACCTCGTCTGTATTCAGTTTTTCCCATTTATCTTAAAAATATGTTCTGACAGTTGGGGTATTGAAATTCAAACCAAATGTAGATGCTGTCCTTGGGTTACTTGTCAGCTTGGTCCCTTTTGGTTGGTGAAAACTCTCCTTCCCTGTTGTCTTCTCCTGTCACTCGTCAGAGAAATTGGGGCCTTTCTACGGCAGCTTCACACATTATAGATTTGGCTGATTGCATCCTCAGGGTGTCATTTGACATGTTCTGCTGTTCCCAGTATTTCCCATAAAATGATGGAGTCAGAGATTTCATTAGCTCCTGGCTCAGTGCCGTCCATTGCACCGTGCTGGTGGTATGCACTGTCCACTCGCCTCTTTGTAAATTTAAGACTACAGTGGGTTCAGATTTGCCCTTGGTCAGGCCGTGGGGAAGCTCCCACTAACCCTTCCCCTGTTTAGCAGCCAGTCAGAGCCCTGCCTAGAGGTGCTGTTTCATTAGGACTCCACAGTGACTATGCCTGACTCTTTTATTCCTTCTGCATGGAACAGCTGGGCTGCTTCAACAAAGAACTCCCACCCTTCAGTCCTGGTCTGCACTGAAAAGGCCAGGGTAAATGTGGGGGTCTTCCCTTCTGCCTTCCTCATTTTCAGCAAAACGAGATCCTCAACCTCGAATGGCAAGGCCCAAAGACTACTTCTTTGTTGGCCTCATTATGAGTTGGATTTTTACAGTCTCTGATTTAAGTCTTGCTGTCACTTTAATTTTTAACTTTTAAACTTTGAATTTCTCCATCAGTGCTAATCAGCTTTCCCTACCACTGGGACACAATACCTGACACCCACAAGTTAAGGAGGAGAGATTTACTTTGGTTCATTTGGTCATGGGGAAAAGGGCCTGGCGTAAAAAAAGCTGCTCCCTCCTGGTGGCCTGGAGGCAGAGACAGAGGGGAGGAGCCAGGGACACAACACCCCTCCCTCTCCAGGTCCCAGCCCCAGGGGCCCAGCCCTTCCAGCCAGGCCCCACCTCCAAGTGGGAGACTTTCCGGGGACATTTCAGATGTGAAAGCTCCAGCAGGGGGTTCCTGTATCCTTTTGCCTCCCCTCCAATGGCCTTCGACAGCTTCCTTGTGTGTATATAGTAAAAATGTGGAAAGAAACACACAAAACCTTTGAGTCCATTGTACTTAGAGCAGGATAAGTGGAGAAGAAAGTGAGTCCATTTAAAGAAAAACAGTAAACAAATCATAGTTTAGAAGTAATCTGCAGAGAGAACTATCCAGAAAGACCAGCTTAGAACTGCCACACATGGTGATACTGTAAAGCCATGTTGCAGCAGAGCATGGTGGCTCACGCCTGTAATCCCAGCACTCAGGAGGCTGAGGCAGGAGGATTGCCATGAATTTAAGGCTGGCCTTGGCTACACAGTGAGTTCAAGATCAGCCTGAACTCTGTGGCAAAACACTGTCTCCAAAAATTAAAAAATAAATAAAAATAAAAGGATTGAGGATATAGCTAAGTGTGAAGGCCACAGATTTAATCTCCAGTAATATTAAAAGACTAACTGGGATTTTTTTTTTTTTTTTTTTTTTGTCATGGATGGAGTTTGGGAAGTGCTAAATTAACTATTGTATAATGCATTTACTTCCTGCAGCAAACCCTCCCCCAAAAAACCATTTTAGATTTGAAAAATATTGTTTTGGTTTGGGTTGGGTTTTTGAGACAGGGGCTCACTTTGTAGTCCAGGCTGGCCTCAAACTCCTGGAGATCCTCCTACCTCAGACTCTGGAGTGCTGGGATTTCAGGCGTATACCACCATGCCTGGCTTGGACCTGAAAATTATTTAATGACCATACACAGATTTAAAATGGTTCATTCACTGGTAACCATTCACTTTCTTGGAGCTTCTTTGGGCAGGTGGGGATGTTGGCATTTGCAGATCGGGGAGGATACCAGGCCACTGCTGGGCCCCCTCTTTCCTGATCTCACTGTGGCCTCAAACCCCATGAGAAAGGCCCTCTGTGCCACAGTGCTCACAGTGGATAAGGACGTTTTCCATCCTTTCCCTCGGTCTCTGCTCCTTATCTGTCACCACTGTGAATGCCTTCTTAAAATGGGCTCTGAGGGCTGGCCAAATAGCTCAGCGGATTAAAGCGCCTGCTTAGGCAGACACAGCAGCCAGGTTCAACGCAGCGGCTGGGTTCAATCCTGGGCGTGCTGTGCCAGCCCCGCCCTGGGGCACACTGAGCTGGTGATTGAGACTGGGCATGGCGGTGCATGCCCGTGATCCCAGCTCTTGGGAGGCTGAACACAGGCGGATCACTAGGAGTCTGATCTACATAAATAGTGAGACCCTGTAGACCCTTACTAGTAAAATAAAATAGGCTCTTGCTGGGAAGGAAAGAAAATAAGCAATTAAACTGAGATGCACTTCAGTACAAGAGACTGAGCAAAACTAACAGAATAAAAGTAAAAATGTAGCTGAAAAATGCAAACAGAATCACCGCACTGAGAAAGAGGCCCCAGAAATGTCTCCCAGCTCTACAGTCAGGAAGAACACTGAGGTCTGAGCCCTGAAGCTCAAGCAGGGAAGGGTGGCTCAATGACCAACCGGACAGTTCCAATGTCCCCGGGGCAATAGGGCCTCTAACTGTGCTCCAGAACGGGAGGCGGGCGCTTGGGTTCTGCTCAAGAACACACTGCGCTGAGGTGCAGGGGCCAGCCCGGGGTCGCCCCCGCGCCGGCGCGTGCTTCCTCCCGACCTTCTCGGTTGTTAGTTGGCTCCGTCTGTTTGCTTTCCAGCGTGTGCTGAACCTGATGGGAAACCCAGTTATCAAGCACATTCCTAACTACCGAAGGACAGTCACCGTGCGGCTGAAACACCTGACTTACCTGGATGACAGGCCAGTTTTTCCGAAGGACAGGTAAGCTCAGAGAAGCCTCTGGGACATGTCTGGACATTTAATAGTTGAGTAAGCGTAATATTAAGCTTTTAAAGTATCTGATTTTTGTGCATTTTTAAGTGTTATTATATATTCTTTGGACATTAGTTTAATGGGCACATTCTACCTGTAATAGAATCCGAGCACTCATTTATAGAATCTTACACTCCTTTGATCACTGTCCTGGTCAGCAAGTTTATTTTGTTTTTGTACCCCATTGCTAACGATTTCCTGGGGATGGAATGCTGGGAGTATTGCTACTGGGTTGAAGAATGAGGCTTGAAGCCAGGTGTGGTGGCACAGGCCCATAATCCTAGCACTCTCAGAGGCTGAGGCAGGAGGATTGAAAGTTCAAACCCAGGCTGGGCAATTTAGAGTTTTAACAAGACACTGTGTCAAAACGTAAACAAGAACAACAGCAGCAGCACTGGGGATGTAGCTCAGTGCAAAAAGCCTGCGTGCATTGAGGTTAGTGTCCAGTAAACACACACACACACACGGGTTGAGACTTTTTAAAAGCTCTCCTAATTTATAATTCTTTAGAGAGTTTACAGCAGATTACAGTCTCACCAGATACAGCCTCTGAAAGAGGCTCTGCCCAGCACTTGATGAGTGCAAATGGTATCTTGTTTTAAGTTTGCATCTTTGGATATCTGTTGAGACTGGCCACTTTTCCATCCTTTTTGGCTTTTTTTTTTTGGCAGAACCAGGAATTGAACTCAGGCCCTTGCGCTTGCCAGGTAAGCGCTTATTCTACTGAGCCATCTCCCTGGCCCTATCATCCCTCTTTATATTCATGACTTGTTCCTATTTTCCAGTATTAGGGAAAAGACCCTAATTTAGGGCCTCATTAGTGCTAGGCAAGCATGCTACCACTGAGCTACATCCCCACCCCAGCCAGGCGTGGTGACACACACCTGTGATCCCAGCACTTGGGAGGCTAAGGCAGGAAGATTGCCGTTAACTTGAGGCCAGCCTGGCCTATGGTGAGTTCAAGGCCAGCTTGGACTATACATCAAAACCCTGTCTCAAAACAGAACAAAACAACCACACACACAGAAATATATCCCAAGCCCCCCCCCCTTTTTTTTTTGGCAGAACCAAGGACTGAACTCAGGTCCTTGCGCTCGCTAGGCAAGCACTTATTCTACTGAGCTATCTCCCAGCCCCTCCCAAGCCCTTTAAAAATGTTTATTTTTATACAGAATCTACATTACTCAGCTAGGCCTTGTACTTGTAATCCTCCTTCTGTAGCCTCTCAAGGAGCAGTCATTGTCACTACTTTTACTTGTGGGTTTCTTTCTTTCTTTCTTCCTTTTTTTTTTTTTTTTTTTCGAAACAGAGTCTGGCTATGTAGCCCAGGCTGGCCTTGAACTCTTGGCAATCTTCCTGCCTCAGGCTCCCAGGCTGTAGGATTACAGGTGTGTGCCACTACACCTAGCCTTGTGTTTTTAATTTACTTTAGGTCAGTGTTAATTCTACTTAGAATGAGCCCATGTATGGAGTGCTTGAGGGAAAGTAGAGTACAAATTTTTAATCATGTGACATTTCAAAAGAATTGTAGCTTGTAATGTGTTTCTAAACTCACAAGCTTAAGCCAAACTAATAGTTCAAATGGAAGAGAAAGCCTCTCTGTGCAGGTAAGAAAAACTTTCCTCTTTTCTTAAGAAGTTGAGATTCCGAGACACTGGCCGCCATTCCCTGGGCTCCGGGCTGGGCTGGGGCAGCCTGGCAGCACTTCGCAGCTGGACTCCTGGCAGGTACCTGGCTCCAAGCAGTGAACCAAAGAGCGGCACCTTGAGGTTCCAACGGCACCCTAGCGAGGGGAGGCAGTTGAGTTCAGGGCAGACATTGACATGACCAGGGTGTCCCTATTGCTGTAGGTGTGCGCTGCCTGTCCTCTTGTCTTAGAGGGACCGGGGCCTGCCACCCACCTTCTCTGTCCTTTGTTGTCTTGGGGTGCATCAGACCCTGGCACAGACTTGCTTCCTCCTCAAGGGCAGCCCTTCTCCCGCAGCGCGCTGCACACAACCCCACCAAGAAGCCCTGGGCGCACAGCAGCCCCTGCGGCCCCACCGCAGCGCACGCTTCCGGGTTCTGCTAGGAGATCAGAGGCTGGGACCACAGCAGTGTCTGTCCCTGCCATGCCTTCTAGTGGGGGCTTGTGGCCTTCCTCTGCTCAGTGTACCTCAGAACCCTATTTCCAGATACCTTGTCTCCCTTGCAGTTATCCAGTGGCAGTCTGCTCTCTAAAGTTTAGCATCCTGCTTTTAAGCCACTGGACCTTAAAAAAACCCAGCTCTACTGAGCCATGCCTCATCCACTGCATCATCCACCCATCTAAATGCAGGGATCTAGCGTTTCGCAGAATGCTACAGCCGTGCACAGCGAGTTTTAGGGTCTTTCATCGCCCTGGGGGAAAACCATCTCCATTAGCTGTCGCACTACGTTCCTTCCACCTCCCTGCTTGGTGACCTGCGATCCACTCTCTGTGTCTGTAGATTTGCCTGTCCTGGGCACTCCATACGGATGCAGTCAGCATGTGGCCCTTGTGTCTGGCACCCGTCACACAGCACCCGTTGTCAAGTGTCACCCACAGTGCACCCTGCTCCTATTTCAATCCTTTATCGCCATCTAACATTCCTTCCTGATCGGCCTTGGAAGTCTGCTTTCCCACCCATTTTACAAACTTGGGTTTTCTCCTTTTGGCTGTCCTGAATAATGCAATTGTACTTGTGCAGTGTTTGCATAGATGGAGGTCTTGTTACTTGTAACATGTAGACAGGAGTGGAGTTGCTGGACCCAGTGGGAACTCTGTGCCTCACCTTTGGGGACCCACTGGTACCTCACCCAGAAGCTGCACCAGGGTCCCATTCCTCCCACCAGTGGACATGGGTTCTGGCTTTTCCACATCTTCGCCAAAATGTGCCATTGCCCCTCTTCTTACTGAATCCTCAAGGGCGGTGTGAAGTGGTGTCTCACTGTGGTTTTGGTCTGCATTTCCTAATGTCAAGCAGCCTTTTAGCAGCAATGTGTATGTATTTTGGGGGAAAATGACAGTTCAGTTTCTTTGCCCAGGTTTTAAAATGAATAGACTCTTTAAAAGAGCAGCTTTAGGTTGAAAGAAAAGTTGAGTATAAAGTACAAAGAGTTCCTTGTACTATACCTTCCCCTCACATCTCCCCGTTACCAACACCGGACAGGCGAGTGGTACACTTGCTGTAGCGAGGCCGATATGCGAGGCCGATATGTGAGGCCGATATTGTATCACTCACTGAACTCCACAGTGAACTTCTGGGGTCATTCTCTGAGTTATACAAATGCATAGTCATGTGTGCCCCATCGCCGTCCCAGACAGAGTAGTTTCATGGCCCTAAAAGTCCTCACAAACCCACCACCTGTCCCCACCCAGCCCTGGCGCCACAGTCCTTTATTGTCACCACAGCTGTGCAGTTTCCAGATGCCACGGAGCTAGGATTGTACAGCAGGCTGTCTTTTTTTTTTTAACTTTTTTTTCCAGCATGCTGTCTTTTCAGGATGGCTCCCTCTGCTTACCAGCAGCTATTTTGATAGCTTACTTCTTTTTGTTGTTGAATAATACTGCATAGTCTGCTGTAGCACCCTATGTCCTTTGGCCTATGGAGGGACATCTAGGTTGTCTCTAATTTTTGCCAGTTAGGATAAAATTGCTGTCAACATCCACATGCAGGTTTTTTTGTAGAAGTAATTTCCAAAATCATTTGTCTTTTGTGCCTTTTTTCTCGATTTTGAAGAAACCAAGCAAGTCTGATCAGACAGCATCTGAGCAGGATCTACCCTTAGATCTCACCTGCTTCTGTCTTATTTTCCACACACAGAGCATGCGCGGAGGCCTGGGCCAGAGGAGGGTATGCAGCGGAAAAGGAGGAGAGAGAGCTGTGGGAGAGCAGAGAGCGGAAGAAGATTGCGGACAGCATCGAAGCCCTGGCCATGATCAGGCAGCGGGCAGAGGAGCGCAGGAGAGAGAAAGAAGCCCGGGAGGGAGGTACATGCTGGCGTCCAGCAGTCCATGCAGATCGGGCCAGGCGGGGTCATCAAATTCAGTCTCTGATGTGTGGGATTTTTTTTTTTTTTTTTTTTTTTTTTGAGATAGGGTCTCACTATGTAGTTCAGGATGCCCTTAAACTCATTGTGTAGCCCAGGCTGGCCTGGAACTTGTGGTGATCCTCCTGCGTTAGTCTCTTAGGTGCTAGAATTACAGATGCACACCATATTTTCTGGTTTCTGGTATCAAAAGGTTCCAGATGAACATGTGGGTGGAGGCATGCTTGGTGTAGGTATGGGGCAAGGAGTTCGGGGTCATCCAGCATGTTCCCTCCTGCCACCTCTGAGTGCTATGACCCAGTGGCACCAGACCCCTTCTTTGTGGCTATGTCCGCTTCATTAAGTGGGGGGCTTGGCAATGTCTTCTGGGGACATTCAGCTTCCTTTATTTAGGTGTGAAAAATGCTCCCATGAACATGACTCATAGTCATGTGTGTGGGTGGGGGTGGTGATACCGGAGGCTAAGCCCAGGGCGCTGGCACTGAGTTACACCCCCACCTCTATTTTATTTCATTGAAATTTTTTTTTTTTTTTTTTTTTTGTATTTTAGGGAAGGGTCTATAGGATATTCAGGGTCTTACTACTAGATCAGACTCGTAGTGATCTGCCTGTTAACAGCCTCCCAAGAGCTGGGATTACAGGTGCGTGACACCACGCCCAGTCTTACTGAAATTTTTGATTGTCTTGATTTGTTTTTTTGGAGGCAGGGGCTCACTGTGTAGCCTGGGTCCACCTTGCTCATGTGGATCCTCCTGCCTCAGGCTCCTGAGTGCTGGGATTTCAGGCCTGCACCACACACCCGGTTGTTTTTTATTTTTAGACACAGCACTGCTCAGGCACTACGTGGCCTACACTGGGCTCACCCTGGCAGCCCTCCTGCTTCCACTTCCTGGAGGCTGAGATTACAGAGGGGGCCACTGTTCCCAGCCTTCTGGGCTCTTCCTTTCCCACATGCGTGGCACCTCCAGGGTGCTCATCTCAGAAGTGCACCGCCACATGCTCGCCCTGGTGTCCCACACTCACCTTGGACCCCCTCGCTTAGGGGTGATGCCACCAGCAGACGACAAGGACAGGCGGGATGAGCCTTCTGTGGCAGGGGACATGCAGCAGAAGATGGAGCTGTTTGTTGAGGACAGCTTTGCAGCCAGGGACGAGCTCTTCCCAGAAGAGGCAAGCAGGGAAGAGGCACAGCCCGTGGACACTGGCAGAACGGCCGAAGGCGGGGCGCCTGCAGGGAGCCTGTCTGCTGCAAACCCAGTGCCCCTGGAAGGTAACTGGGGCGAGCGAGGGTCCTGCCGGGAGCCTGAGCCACTCTGCCATTGCTGTTCCTAGACCATAAAGTGCACGAGCGTCCCACATCCTGGGCAGCACTGCTCAACACAAACGCAGCAGGAGCCGCTGAGAAGAGAGTCTGCAGCAGCCATGTCAGAAAAAGTAAAAACATGTAAAGCCATTAGTAGTATACAGTGTAATCGAAGTAAGTGGCGTGAATAGAAGGTATTATAGCAGCACTGAGCACAGTGGCACACAGCTGCCTTCCCAGTGCTCGGGGCTGAGGCAGGACAGTCACGGAGTTTGGTTCTCCTGGGCTACACAGTGACGCTCTCTCCAAACCACAAAAACTTTATTTATAGCAAAAGACACGCTGCCACGAGTGCTCTCCAGAACCCTCCCGATCACTTCGAACACACTCGTCCCATCGCTCTTGTCACTCACTGAAGCAGTTCCGGAAGTGCTCTTCCATGGGTGTTGTCAGAAGTGTGACGCAGCTGCCAGCGCCACCAGCGGAAAGGCAGCTTGCAGAAAAGGCCTGTGTCCTCATCCGTCTTACCCATCCTGCCTGGTACTGAGTGACTTCCGGCTCTTCCCGAAAGCCAAAATGACCCTGAAAGGTAAACGATTTGCATGGATTCAGGACATGAAGACATCGATGGCGGCAGCAGGAGCGCCGCGAGAGGACTTCGAGGACTGCTTCCTAGAGTGGCGAGAGTGTTGGGACAAGTGTGTTCACAGCGAGGGAGAGTGTCCTGAGGGTAACCAGCAGTGTGTCTTTTATTGCTGAAAAAGTAAACATTCACTATATTTTTTTTATCATACTTTTATACCTGTCTCCTCCCAGTACTGAGGATTAAGCCAAGGTCTTAACACAGAATTACACCCCCAGCCTCCCCATTTTTTTTTTTTTTTTTTTTTTTTTTGTACTGGGGATAGAACTCAGGACCTTACACATGCCAGGCATGTGCTTATGCCACTGAACCATCTCCCTGGCTTTTTTTTTTCTTTAAGACAGGGTCTCCCTGTGTAGGTCAGGCTGGCCTTGAGCTCACTATGTAGCCTAGGCTGGCCTGGAACTCTCTTCAATCCTCCTGCCCTTGCCTAAGTGCTGGGATTATAGGCATACGCCACCATGCCCAGTCCCCAGTTTTTCTTTTTTTAAATTTTGAGACAAGGTCTTGTTAAATTGTGAATTGCTCAGGCTGGGCTTCAGCTCGTACTTCTGCCTCAGCCTCCCACAGTGCTGGGATTACAGGCGTGTGCTGCTGCACCTGGTCTTAGTGCTGAATTCTGATTTATTAGCTACCTACTTTATGTTTAATAATATCTAAGGAATCTCAGCATAGTATCTTTCAGAGAAACAGGTATGTGGGAAATGCAAATGCCCACAGGGACAGGCTCTGACAGCAGGGCTAGCCGTGCGCGTGTCAGAAACTGGGGTTGGCATTTTCTCGGTGCTGGGACCAAACACCAGGTGGGTCAGAAGAGAAGGGAAGGAAGACAGCAGGGGCCTGAGTGGGCAGAGGCCCAGCCACAGAGCACAGAGAGCAGAGGGGCTGCCGCTGCCACTGGGGACAGAAGTGCCTCTGGGAGCCAGCTCAGCCTCCTCCGCGCTGGTCACCGCTGTTCTGGCTGCTGTGGACTCCAAGCTTCTGTGTCCATCCAGAAACTTGCCTCGTTTCAGTTTTGCCCTAGGGAACACCCACATGGTCTGTTACTCCCTGGCAGGGCCACGTTTCCCCAAAGGCTTTCTTGGAAGGAGACAGATAGGTCTTGGGGCTGTCATTCCTTGTCCTCTCAAATGTACCTTAGCTGCTAGCACACATGGATTTTGCAGGGGCCAGGCCCAGGTATTGCCAGGAGCCTAGGAAAGGAAGGGCTGCCATCAGCGCTTCCTCATTGAACAAGTCCTGGACCCTGAGGCTGGAGGGCTGGCTGTGTGCCCTCAGGGGAAGGCGCCCTGGTGGCAAAGGTGGTACAGGCCAGCTGCCCTTCAGGGTTCCTGCTTGATAGCCCCATGGCACCTTCTCTTGGGCCTCCCCTCCAGGTCACAGTGAGAGGGGCAGCTTCCTGTGGTCTCTCCAACAGGGCCTCAAGGGATCTGTCACCCAGCCGCAGCTGGGGCCCCTGTGCTTTGGCCCATGGGCTGGCAGTTGGCACCAAGGCCCTCAGGTATACTCACTCAGGACCACTGACTGCTTATGTTCCTCAGAGTCGAGCTCCAGGCTGGTGGCTGCTGATGGCTTGTTGACTACAGTGCCTCACGGAACCAGAACCAAGGACACAGAAGCCGTTAACCAGGGGGTTGAGGAGAAGCTCTTTATTGCGGTATGGGTGTACTCAGCCTTGGAGAATGGGGTCAGCTTGCACCTTTGTGATCCTCGCCATGCTGTGGGTGGCCTTTGGGTGGCAGGGGGGGCCCCTTGGGTCCTGTGCATAGTGAGACCCGGTGGTGCTGGCACATGTGGCATGGCCCGCACAAGCACGGCCCAGACAGCTCTGCTTGAGCTGTGTCTGCCCGGCTCCAGATTCGCTTGCCTTAAGAGGTGCCTTGCAAAGCACTCAGCCCACTGGCAGCTCTGAGTCCCGCTCATCGCCAAGGGCTCTCCGAACCTTGGCCCCGGCTGGGCAGCTGCTCACTGCCCGGAACTGTTCTGGCCTCCAGTTGTCTCCTCCCTCTCCAGATGTCCCTGCCCAAGCCCCATCTCTTTGGCCTGTTGAGTGAATGTTAGATCCCATCCTCAAGTGCCACTCTTCCTGGAGATCTTTTCATTTTGATGACAGTCACATTGGCCTAGAGACGGGCCACCATGGGAACCCACACCTTTGTCCATGTCCTTGGAAAGGTATTGACAGGACGTGACTGTTGCCCCCGCCCCCAGCTGGTATGCCTCTACCTTCTCACTACCTCCTGTCGAACTTCTCAGCTAGTGTTTACCTCAGACCTCAACATTTCATGACTAAGTGTTAAGCTGACTGTGGTCAATATTCACGGTGGGCTTCTAGCTTCCTGGTTCTATGGATAAACCACTTAACATTGGAGAATAAGTAGCCAATATGAGTTCATACTCTGCATATGACATTGGTCTAAGGATGCTCTGCATCAACTGATGCAGCCCTTTTAATTCCTGTAAGAGGTATATACTGTTACCCCAATTTACAGATGGAAAAATTGAGACAGAGGCTAGTCTGCCCAGAGCTGAATAGCTAGACACCAGCATGAGAATCTTTCCGGGGCTCAGACAGCTGATCACGGTGCCTCCTTCCCAGCATGCTGGCTGGCGTCTTTGGTTAAAGATAGGAAACAAGCCCACAAACACAAAACTAAGGCCTACCAGTTTGGGGAGGTACACAAGGGCCCCCATCGGGCCCAGGACTTGTGCACACAGGTGTTTTGGATTTGGGTCCCATTATTTCTCCCAAGGTGAACTAAACTGTCTCTAAAAATAAAATGAGGCAAAGATGTGGCCGTCCTTGGACCCTGCCACAGGCTGCAAGCCCTCGCTTCCCCAGATTAGTCTGAAGCTTGGAAAGATAGCATGGTATCTATGCCACACGTGTGGGAGGGTCACGCATCTTCCCTCCACACCTGGCTGGTCCACACCTAAGGCTCCGTGTCCCCTACTCCCATGTAGCTCACCTCCCCAGTGACTGGCTTGTTGCTCCTTACAGGACCTGCCTGACTTGGAAGATGTTGATGACACAGACGCACCTCGGGAAGACCTGGATAAGGTTATCAGTACACATTTGCCCTGCAGTCAGACTGAATTCCACTTTACTCTTGTCATTTAGCACAATTGTCTTTTAAGTCCCATGATCAAAGAAAGCGTGGCATACACTTACATTTTTGCCTTGATGGAATTACAGCTATGTGTCCTGCTTAAGGTCTTATTACCCACGTGGCTTCTCTCGCACATGCATTTTACTGCCCCTCCTAATAGCCACGCACCATACACAAGTACCGGAAGCACTGTTCCCTTCTGGTGGGCTTACAGGCCCATCTTAGTAATGTGTTCCACTATAGCTACTGAGGGTAGGAAAAGGGAGGAGAGAGTGAGGGGCCAGGGCCTATGGGTGTCTTCCTAATTCACCTGGCTACCCTTCCTCAGGCACTCGGGCGAGCCCAGGGGCCCAGGGAGAGGAAGCGCTGATGTCATCTGTGTGTCTTGTCGCTATCAAGAGACAGGCACCTCTGGTTTCCGTGCAGGCTCTGGTGTCCAAGGCAGAGCTCCAGAGAGCTGCTGGCCAGCTGGGTGGGGAGCGCAGTGTGGAAGACAGAGGCGGGCAGTAGGCTGCAGCGCTCAGCAGCAAGTGCGGGCAAGCAGGGCCTGTCGCAAGGCTACTCTGGTCAGGCACTGTGCAGTGTTCCTTGGGGTCACTGCCATGTGGCCACACAAGAGTTGGTAGCATTCAACGTAAAGTATTAAGTGGCTGTTGTGAGGTGTTGACACACCCTTCTATTCTCTCACTAGGAACTGTGCTTCCCGAAGATCGAGGTCCTCTCAAGTGGGAGCGACAGCAGTGACACTGAACTGGACACAGCCCTCCCTGGGTCAGAACACTGGCCTAGAGGTGCCCTTTCACACATATTCACCGTCTCTAGGGACACCAAAAAGGCCAAGGTACCCTTCACAGACATCCTAAAGGAAGACGTGATGGACTTGCAAACCAAAAGTCAAGACCCCAAGGTCCCAAGAGTGCTCATCCAGGAGCTCAGTGACATGCACTCAGGCCGAGGGCTAGCATCCCCCTGCTGCAGGAGAGATGCTGCAGAGGACAGGGACAGGGACGATGCCCTGCCTGCAACCTCCTCCCCAGGTGAAGCACCCAGCTCCCCAGGGCCCAAACACCCATGGATGGCTAGGAGGGGAGCACCAGCACACCTCAGCCCAAGCACCCCAGTTCCTGGATAGCCATTTGTGCTGGGCCGTGATATGCCCCAATCCATGATGCTGAAGCTGACGCCTAAGTGCATGGCACTCTGGGGCCTATGGAGCCTAGCTGTCTGCAGGCCTAAACTTCTGGGGGAGGGAGGGGACTACAGACAGCCTGGTGGAGGTTGGGACAAGCCAAGGTGCGAGGCTGTAGGAACATCCCATGCCTGATGCACCAAGCAGGGACAGCATCTGGGGGCCACACCACATGCTGGTGGCTGATACCAAGGGGCACCTTGTGAGGCCAGTGAACAGACATGGAGAATGAATTGAGGGCTTCTGTTGACGCCAATTGGCGTCAGGTGTGTCAGGTGTCCCAACGAAAGGGAAGTGGGTGGGGGCTGGCCATGCCCAGCTCCCAGCAGTACTATCTCTTCTAACCCTAGGAGATGGAGCTGAAGATGACCAAGTGCAGCCTGAGACAGGGCCTGAGGAGTCCGGCCTGGGGACAGGCCCAGGGCAGGTGGGACTGGCTTTGGACTGAACTGAAGTACCCACCATCACAGCAGCAGTGACGGGCCCAGATGCATCACCTCCCCCTCCTCCTGGAGTGTGGCCACTTGCTAGGCCTGCTCTGTGGATTTGGCTGGCGACAGTTGCCCATGTGCCTTGCTCACCTTGTACCCTTGGCCTTTCAAGACATCCTTGTACCCAGAACCTGTCACTTATAGGGCTATGTAACTATAAATGCCTCATCAGCATGATAAAAACACTTAATACCAGCATGTTCCTGGCACGGTGTCTGCAAGCCACACGCAACCCTCTGCTTTGTCAGCCACGTGGAAGACTGCTGGCGGGTCACACCTAGTGTCAGTGCAACCTTGAGCAGGTGAGGGGACACCATGCAGCCCACGAACACAACTGCTCCAATTCGTGTGCAGCTGCCAGGTTTATTCCACCCAGGCCTGGTGCCCAAGAGTCCCCCTCTGCTCTGCAGCACAAGCTGCCCATGGCAACAGCTGCTGGCCTGCTCTGAGTTGCACCGTGAGGCTACACGGCCTTGTCACGAGGTCAGATGCAGGGCAGGTACCACCACCCCAGCTTCCTGGAGGTGGGTGAGATGCAGCCCTGGCCATCTCCAGGAGAGCACCAGCGACCCTGGCTCAAGCAACCCTTTTGCAGGTGGCTTCTGGACCTGTGTGCAGTAAATATGCAAAACACAGCCCGCTGCTGTGCTGTTCCTTCAGCTCGGCTCCCGGCTCCAGGCACCTGCTTTTGGGTCCCACAGCCCTCAGGAGGCTCTGCCCCAAGGGAAGACACGGCTGGTCTGCAGTGGTGGAAAAGCGGCTTGGCAAGGACGGCAACTCTGGATGTCCTCAGAAGCCCATGCGCGGCCTTTTCCGTTGTGGCTGAGAGCCAGGGGTGGGCAGCCGCGAGGGTGTGGCTTGGACACAGGAGGCCTGGGAGGACGGCATGGCCACATGCTCCGGGGCTGGGGTGCTCTTTGGAAGTGGCAGCTTTGCCATGTAGTCCCGGAGTGTCTGCTGCCTCTCTGAGTGGACACCCCGGACCCACAACTGCTCAGCTGACTCCTGGGAGTACGGGGTCACAAGCCTGGCCTCTGTGGGAATCTGCTCTAGGGTAGGAGGGGGGCTGGCCGTATCTGGGAGGTCCAGGCAGCTGGTGAGGGAAGAGAAGGTGCTGGACAGTTGAGTCCGGCGCTTGGGCCGCCTGGCCTGCTTCCCTGGCTCTGGGGCCTTGCCTTGCTGTTTTCTCCACCAGGCAGTGGCCAGGCCTTCCCAGGCCTCCTCCAGACGCTCACTGAGCTCATCCTGAGGGCCGGGCTCGGGGGCGGGGGGTAGCTCCGCCGGCGGGAGCAGGCCCAGGTCCTTCTGTTGTAGTAACCGGCCCCCAACCATGGCTGCCCGCAGACCCTGAAGTACTTTCCCCTCCACCTCCTGGTGCTTTAGGCGGCCCAGCAGCCGGCGGTGGGAAAAGGTGGGTGCAGCCCACACAGGGGGTGCAGACGGCACCTGCAGCAGGGCCTCCAGCCAACGACTGCAGCAGGCAGTGGCCCCTGTGGTCCAGGAGGGTATGGGCCTCTGATCCACTGGAGGCGCTGTCGTCCTGGGCACAGGGCAGTCAGGCTCAGGGTCGCTGGGAGGCCCTGCATCTTGGTGGAGGCTGGAGGCTGTTTGGAGAGTAAGGTGCTGGTAGAAGATGTCCCCAGCTGCTGAGAGCTGGAAGAGCCACACTGCAGGTGTGGAGGCACAGGGTGGGAAGGCAGAGGCCAGACCTGGGGAAGGAACGGCGATGACCAGACTGGCCGGCCCACAGGCCTGCATCCCATGCCAGCTCCCCATCCGCATACCTATCGTCGGTGCTTCCAGTCGCTCCAGAAGCTGCTTTTGGCTCTTGGGCTCCAGCAGGGGAAATGCAGAGAGGGAGTCAGCTGGGGAGGGCACAGACTGGGGGGGCCCTGCCAGCTGGGGTGCAGAGGCCTCCTTTCCTGCAGGAACCAGAGGGCTGAGGTCCAGGCTGCTTCTCTTAGCCCAGCCCACCTGTGCACAGCCCCGCCCGCAGGCCTCACCTGTGATATGCAGTAGCCGCACCTGCCCACCTAGGCCACCCAGGAACAGGGGCTGTGGGGCGCCAGGGCTGGCTAGAGGCAGTAGGTGGGCCAGCAGGGCCGGGGAGGGGAGGTCATGGTTCCACTTAAGCATCGGCACCAGGGGCAGGCGTTCATCCACCAGGTAGAGCGAGAACTGGGGCCAACCAAGAAGGGTGCAAGAAGAGGGGCTCGGCGCAGGCCAGCACACCTGTGCACTGGCCCCTACTGTGGCCCAGGGCTCTCGGGACTTCTGCAAGCCCCAGGGGACAGCACTCTAAAGGTGCCTCCTGAGAAGGTAGAGGAACACAGGGACGGAAGGCCAGCACAGCCAGGAGAAAGGGTCTCTAAAGAGGTGAGCAGGAGCCTCGTCACAAAGAAGCCACCTGGCCTTTTCCCACCTGTCCCCTGCCTGTAGCCCTGAGCCTGGGCCTGTGTTGGGGGCATACCTAACATCTGAGACCCTGGGTAAGTGGCCTCAGCACTCCTCCCCTGCTTCTGTATACTCGGGACCTGTCAGGCACACATCCTGGCCCCTGCGCCTCTCGTCGTCTGCTATTGCGGCCCACCCTACAGTGAACTGGGACACCATTGCTCAATAGGCTTCCCGCCTGCCCAATGGCTCACTGGTCAGGCTCCATGTGGCTGGGCTGGCACGCTGTGAGGGTCTCAGGATGGCAGGATAAAGGGGATTTACTCACCTGGGTACAGATGAGATGCAGAGTCGGAGGCAGTGATTTGGGGCCAGATTGCCCCAGGTACTGCGTGAGCAGCACACGTTCCCCTTTCTGGCAGGAGGCTTCAGCCCCTGCCCGGAAAAGCAGCAGACCACATCCAGGGGGGCCCTGGGGAGAACACAGGCTCAGCTTTCCTGACGCGCAGGTCCTGCTGCCCCTCAGTGCCCAGCCCGTACCTGAGTGTCGATCATCTTCACTCCTGTGCGGTCGCCCACCGTCAGCACCCGCGGGTGGGCAGTGAAGTCTGCCCAACGCCAGGGAGAAGGGTCCCGGAACACAAGGGTCTCTGGGTCCTTATAGACTTGCTGCAGCCTGGGAGAGACAGATACGGCGGCTGAAGGCTGCAGGCAGAACGTGTGTCAAGGATCAGACAAGGCAAGGCAGGACACGCTGGGGCGGGAGCAAGGGCACAGCTGTTACAGTGCAGGTATTCAAAGGGAGGGCATTACCCATTCTGGGGGGTCCACAGACAGATGGCTCCAGAACAGCTGCAGAGGGCCAGCTCCCCAGGCAGGTGAGGGCTACAAGAACAGAGTGATTAGTGCAAAGCGCCCTTTGCCTAGACCTGCCTCCCCAGGGCCCAGCTCAATACCCCCTCACCTGAGACTGATCCCTGTGGCTCCCTTCTCAACCTGCAGCACCTGCAGAGGGGCTGGCCGCCGCTGCCTCCCCACCTTCCACACGGCACAATGGTAGTCAGAACGCACAGCCAGAAGCGCTGGGAAAGAGATGGAGGGGTCAGGCTCTGGGCCCAGGCTGTAAGCCCATCATGGATGGAGGGGGCTAAGGGCCTTACTTTCTCCTTGGACAGTGCTGGTTACCACCTGCCGCACAGGTCCCTGGAGCTGGATGCACCCTGGATCCCCAAGGACCTGAGGCTCACTGTCTGAGGTCAGAATGACGTCCTGGAAACCTGAGCCTGTGGCTAAGGAAAAGGGATGAGCTCTGGCCACTGTAAGCCCCTACTTTCTTGCTTTCTCCTTCCCTGGACACCGCTGCCCAATGAGAAAGGATACGCAGCCTGTCCAGTGCACCGCCAGCCGGATAGACCAGTTGGCCAACCTGTGGGGTCCTTCCAGGCAGCCAGGCCAGGGCACCTCCGGTGAAGGCCTCATCCAGGAGCAGTCGCTCCCAGCGTGTGGCCAGCTCTTCGTGTAGCAGGCCCCCCAGCAGGCGCGACACTGACTTGCCCAGCACTGGGCCCCCAACGATGGAGAAGCGGCGCAGTCGGTGGCTGAGGTAAGCCCAGGGACACCTGGGGAGGACAGCAGCAGCTCACTGGGTGGTGAAGGGGGGGGTGGGGAGCAGGCCGAGGGGGGCCAGGTGCAGAGCACAAGCTCATCTACCTAGTTTCCTTCCTTGGAAGCCGCCTGCCCTGTTCCCTCATCCCAGGCACAGTCACAGGACCCAGACCTGGGTGAGCTCTCCATCGCCCCTGCACAGCGACTGGTTCACAGCTGGGCATGAGACCCCCGCCAGGTCAACCAAAGTCCTCCTGGGACTTTTGGTGTCTCAGGAAGGACACTGATTTTTTCCTTGGAATCAAAAGCCATCTTGCTGCCATGTGACAACAGCCTTTCTAGGAATTAAGCCAGGCAGAGGGAAGCAACGAGAAAGTAAGAGTCCTGTCCACATTATCCTAACCACCAGGACGCGGCTATGCAGAGTCCACACACTGAAACCCCTTTTCCCTTGGGCCAGTAGGAGGAGTGTGGCTCACACTGCTGACTGGGAAGGCATTTGGCGGGAAACCCGGGCCCGTGTCCTGGCTCCCTCCACATCCCATCGCCAGCGAGGCCCATCCGGCAGGTCCTTTCCCTCTAGCCACTTGCCCCCAGGGCTGGTGTCCGCTGAGGTCCTGCAGCAGCCTCTTCGCGCTGACCACTGGCTTCTTGGAGCGGTTCTGTGTGGAAAGGCCTTGTTAGGCTCACACAGCCTGGATTCAGCGGGTGGGGGGTGGGAGGGAAGCCAGTGGTGTGCTCCGGCCCAGCAGGTGGACACTCACCCGGCCTCCCTCCAGTCTGAAATTCTCCAGCATCATCTTCCCCAGGGGTGCAAAGGCTATGTCCCCGTGATCCCACAGGAATCTGCTGAGCTGGGAGAGGAGGCTGGTCATTACGGTCAGTACACACAGCCCAGGCCAGGCTGCAGAGCACCCTCTGCTGTGGGACTCCTCACCTGTTCAGTGACATCCAGCACGGCCTGGGGCTGCCTCCGGTAGCGGAAACCCCCTCGGAAAAGGAGGTCCTGTGCTGTCACACCAGGGTCCCAGGGATCTGAGCGATAAGGAAGGTGAGGAAAGGGGCCAGGAAGACCACCCACGGGCTGGGAGAGGCCGCAGGCATAGAGGGATGGGTTGAGCAGCGACAGGAAGCTCAGAGCCTGAGCGTCTTACCGGGACAGGGTGGCAGCAGGGGGAGGGGCCCAGGCATCGCCGGCTGCCAAAGCAGAGCCTTGGCCGAGTGCGGAGCCGCAGTCTAGGGGGAACAAAACCACTACGGTGACATGAGGATTCTTACGACAACCCTACAAAGTCGGTATGAGTGTCAGCACCATTTTACCAATGCAGAAGCTGAGGCACAAGAAGGCTTCACTTGCCCAGGTGACAAATGACAGAGAGAAGAGCCAGCATTTGAACCCAGGCAGCCAGAGCCCACTGGGCTTTGCTCAGAGTCATGAGCACACGTCTGTTCACATGCTCACTCATCCTGGCCTGGTCCACGAGGGCAGGCGTCCCCTGCCCGCAACTTACACTGTGCGTTACTGTCTGGGGGAGAGCGGGGCAGGCACAAGGGAGCCAGAGCTCCTGCTGAGTGATCCCTCTATGCATGGCAGGGCAGCCCAGGGCCCCGAAGGAGAGAGTTCAGCGGCCTGGGCAGTGGTACTCTTGCATGGGACGCCGCCCTGCCCTGCACCGTGCCAGCAGGCGTGACTGCTAAAAACAGGCCCCAGGCCCCTCCTTCCATCCTCACCTTGCAGTTCTGTGGTGGGGACTCTGGCAGGGTCAGGGTGTCTCTCCAGCTGCACATAAAGGACAGGTCGGGGATATCACTCAGACCAAGGGGGCCAGTCATGAACAATGAGGGGCGGAGTGAGCTGGGGAAGTCCATCCTGGAACAGCATCTAGGGTCCCACCAGCCTTCTCTGTGTGCTTGACACTGAAAAACCTCCCAGAGCTCCTGGGGAGAGCACAAACAGCCTAAGTCAGATTTTCCTCGAGGAAGCAGTTACTAAAACACCCAGAGAGGCATTACAGGTAGAATGGTTTGCAAATGCCAAAGCGCTGGGGCAGAAGTGTGTGGCAAACAGCTAGGAGGTCACAAAACGAATTGGGAGAGTGGAGGGGATGCGGCCAGACAGCTGGCGTGGGCCGGCCTCTGTCTCAGCACTGATGCCATACAGTTACCCCCGCGCAGACACGCTTGCAGGCTGCACCCCACCCCACCATGGCCACGGGCTGAGTCTCACTCATCAGCCTCCCCACTGTCAAGCGCAGTGCTTACCAGAAGATGCACCGTGTTGGATAAAAATAACTTACATCAAAGAGCTTCACCAAACACAAAACTCTCTACGAGTAAACAGCCCCACCATTCCTCTCTTATTACAGAGACAGCAGACTCACGAGCACCAGTATCTGCCAGACATGGTGCTCAAGGCTTGTTCTTCTAGGGCCCGAATTTGGGGGTCCAGGATGCTAGGGGTCAGGAAGCAGTGACTTGCTCCAGCGCAGCAGCAGAGACTGCCAGAGCCTGATCCTCGCCATTCAGGGCCGGTGCTGCGAACCACTCCTCTCCCAGGGACCCAGAAGCAAACACCAGCATTAGCGTCAGCAGCAAAGCCTTTCCCCGTGGAACGTCGGCTACATTTTATCAGTTTTGTCTGTAACCTCTGTCCAGATCCATGTTTTCTTTTACTACAGATCCATAAATTCTGCGACCTCTATCCAGAATATGTAAATATCCCCAGCCTGATCATAAAGCGCCTCACCCGAGAGCCTACATTCCCTTCTAAGTATACTTCTTTAACTTTGCTCAGTAAATCTCCATTCCGCTCAAAGACCAAGTCTTGAAATGCTTTTCCATGATAAGGCAAGAATCTACACTTTGGGTGAGGACAGTTAAGATTCCCATTTCGTCTTTTTGGGGACCTCCTAATACTATGGACAGACCAGTGAGGCAGAAGACAGCAGGCTGTAGGGAGGGACTGGGCCCAAGGTAAAGACAGGATGACCAGGCCTTGGTCAGGGAGGCTGGAGCCTGAGGTCAAGAGTGCACAAGAACCAGACGACAAGTACGTCCAGGCCCGTAACAATCAAGTTGCTGGATGGTCACTGTGACAACTTCTGCCCCTACATATCTAGAAAAATTTTTGCATTCTCACTTTCTTCTTTTAACAAACCACTTAGGAGGGCTGGCCAGACAGCTCAGCGGACTAAAGCGCCTGCTTAGGCAGAGCGCAGCGGCCAGGGCTCAATCTGCCCATACGACTGAGACTGGGCGTGGTGCAGCGTGTCTGTAATCCCAGTGCTTGGGAGGCTGAACACAGGAGGATCACTACAAGTCCGATCTACGTAGTGAGACCCTGTACTAAATACATTTTTTAAAAACAAAACACTTAGGATAGAGGCTATGAGGCATCTGCAGACACACGCTTGCTACATGCCTCAACTCATTTCAGGCCTATGGGTTGACTCACACTGAGCCCTGGTCATTTTGGTACAAAAACTCCTAGACAAAGTATCCCATGGCAACCCACTTTCAGGCACGCTCCCAACTAATAGGAGCTAATCTTTTGTGTGTATGTGTTCTACAGGGTCTCACTCTATAGTTCAGACTGCTCTTGAATACACTATGTAGCTCAATCTGGCTTAAAACTCACAGGGATCCTCCTGCTTCAGCCTCCTAAACACTAGGATTACAGGCGTGCGCCACCATGCCCATCTTAGTTTTCTATTCTTGCTTCTTCCGTTTGACTTCATTCTCTGACCTCGTGAGACATGGCCCCAAATCTCATCTCCACAGAAGGACCCCTTCTGATGACACTCCCACGACACCTTGCCTTCTCCAGCCAGAGTGTGGGCAGCAAACTGATCAGACGTTTCAAAGATAAGGCTGTCCGACTAAAGCTGTCCCACGCAAAGGGACAGCTTTACTGTCCTAACCTTTAGAGATTCCTGTCACGGCAACAACCAGACACAGAAGCACATAAACATGAACGAAAGACAACTCTAGGAAGAGACGAAACGGAGGAGAACGGTCCCAACAGCCTGAGAAGCCTCACCGTCCCCGCCGGCGGCCCCAGGCCCCGCTGCAGGGCGGCGGACCCGGCGGGTCTGCGCCAGGGCCGGCGGGGCGCACGTGGGCCTGGCCCGGAGGACCGGGGCTCAGGGGCCCCCCACCCCTCGCGCCCTGCACGCCCCAGGCCCGCGGGAGGGTGCGCGCGCACGCACGGGGCCGGACTTCGGCGCGCCTGGCGGGGAAAGGGAGTCCTCCGAGACACTCGCTGACCTTCGCGCCACAGGAGTGCCCTAAAGCAGCACGGCACCTACCGCGGCCCTCGCGCGCCAGCCCCCACAACAGCAGCGAAGGGTTTTCCCGGGCCGGGCCGGAAGTACTCCACGGGTGACCGGAAGTCCCGCCTCCCAGCCCGACCGCACAAGCGTGCTCTATCGCCACCTACGGAGGAGAAGTGGAACGGCAGTAGACAAAAAAAATTCATGAGGTCTTAAAATTGGTTATACAGGCTTGACTTGGATTTGAAGCCCACTTCTGTTTTACCAACTTCCTATCTCACAGAGTGGTTGTGAGGACTAAGTTAACCCGCTCAACAAGCACTGAGCACCTGCTATGAGCCAAACATTGTATTAGTCTCATGTACCCTCCTGATTGTCCTTGAATCCTAAAGAGCTGGCTTTACAAATAAAGGCGCCAGTGTCCTTGGATGTGAGAGGGTCCCAGGGATGCCCAGGTGGGGTAGCTTCCTAAGCAATCCTACTTGTGTGAGAGCCACTCCCTGCACACACTGGGATCAGAGTCAGGGCCTCCTGTGTGCTACACAAACACTCATGACTCTCCACCCTCTGCTTCTGGGATAGCTGGGACTTAATGGTGTGCCCCACCATGACACCTTACAAAGCAATCACAAACCTTACCACTGTCCCAGCCTAGGGGCTCTCTAACTTCCGTGTGCACCTGAGTCACTGGGAGGGCTTGTTAGGACAGCTTGCCGAGCCCTACTCCAGAGTTTTTGATGCAGTAAGTCTGGGATGTAACCCCAGGTGAAGTTGATGCTGCAGAGCCTACAATCTGAGAAGTCTATAAAGGATCAATTTGCAGATTTTTCAACTTCTAGCTCTATTTAGTTTCTATTGGGGGCGTTTGTAGAATCCAGTGGTCTTTTTCCATCTTCCCTTTCCCAGCTACTTCCTTCCCACCATGGAGTCTTGGCCTAGGACACTGCTGAACAAGAGGATGATTCTAAGGAGTAGACCTCTTATGAGAGAGAACCCCTAGAGGAAGGCAAGTTCAGTGATTAAAAAAAAATGGAAGGGTACATAAGGGGTATTTTGGGGGCTATTGTTTGTTCAACAGAGTGCTGGATAATGGCCGTGTGCAGTGTATGAAAATTCAATGAATGCTCTGTACATGGAGATATGTTATACGTACAGAAAAAGTCTTTTCAAGAAAGCTGGGTGTGGTAGTGGAAGCCTGTAATCTCAGCACTGGAAAGGCTGAAGCAGGAAGATCTCTGTGAGTTCAAGACCAGCCTGGGCTACAAAGTGATCTCAAGCCTAGCCTGAACTGCATAGCAAGACCCTGTCTCACAAAGAAAAAAAAAAAAAAAAAAAAAAATTTTTTTAAAAAAAAAAAAAAAAAACTCTACTGGCCACGATGCCTTCCACCATCAAGACTTTGAACTCTTGGTTAGGCTATGGATTGTAAGCCCATTACCTTAGAATCAAGATATCTCCCTAGAAGGGCAGGAAATCTGACTGGAGTGGCCCCTGTTATACTAACAACTAGAAGATCAAACCCTCTTTGAATATTGAATCAGTGAAAAAGAATGAAGTGGGGGTGGTTCTCCTGGGCAAATGTCAACACATTTGTTTAAAGTGAAAGGTAAAGTCAGACCCTCTGATAGGAAGGAGGCCTTAACTGACTAGTTTGCCTCATGATTAGCTTGGACATTTGATTATCCGGGACTGCATTTTTCCATAAATGAAAGAGCTAAAATGGCATCTCCATGGTTTGGGCAAACATATTTTTGTCTTTGTTTATTTATTTATTTACTTTTTCCTTCATTTAGGTCTATGGGGTCTACAAGGTCTCACTACATAAATTGGACTTGTAGTGATTCTCCTGTTTTCAGCCTCCCAAGTGCTGGGATTACAGGCGTGCACCTCCACAACCAGTCTCCATCACAGTCTCAGCAGGCCCTGGGGGTGGGGCCAGGAGGCTCAGCACTCTGCCTAAGCAGGCTCTTTAGTCCGCCGAGCTATCAGGCTGGCCTGGCAAACATATATTTAAAGGATGATTGTAACACTATAAATCAGAAAGCACATCTTTGTCACTATTTAAACTTGTGATGAAAGAATCAGGGTCCCAAGGTTTTCACAATTATTTTAGGGTCTGTGTACAAAAAATGAAGACACTTAAATGAGTTTCCTGTTGTGGCTATAACAAGTTACTATAAATCTAATGGCTTAAAACAACACATGACGTTACATCTGGGCTCGGGCTAAGGCGTCAGCAGGGCTGGGCCGCCTGCAGAGGCTCTAAGGGAGAGAATTCATTGTCTTCTTTTCCCGGCTCTGGAGGCTGCCTGCATTCTTTGGCTCGGGTCTCCTTCCCTCTTCAAAGCCAGCCCCGGGAAGTCACCTCTCCTGCATCACGCCATCTCTGTGATTGTCACTCTTGCCTATTCAAGGACCCTTGTGATCACATTGGCTCCACCTAGACAATCCAAACCCCTCTCAGCTATGGCTAGTATCTAGACGTTCTGCCGAGGTGCCATGCACTGCCAGGTGGAGCTCCGGAGAGCAAGTGTTTGGTGAGCACACGCTTCTTTTGAACTTAAGAAAGGCTTGAGGTGAAGGGTTTTGTTTGTTTGTTTCCATTTATGTATTTGGTACAGGGTCTCACTACACAGCTCGGACTCGTAGGATTCCTCCTATTTTCAGCCGCCCTAGTGCCGGCATTACTGGAGCTCGCTGCCACACCTGGACGCAGCAGGCTCAGCGCGCCATGTGGTGCCGGGACGGAACCCTTGAGGCGAAGTTTTGAGATAGGGAGCTAATAATTCGATGAGGCTGCTGTAGTGTGCACAACTGCGCCTAACGGATGAGGACCAGTCTCAGGAGGTGAAGGACTGCGGTGTGGAGGCGTCCTGGGTCCGGAGCCCGAGTGCGCCGTGCACACAGCGTCTGCTCCTACTCTTCCTCCGTCCCCCCACGGTTGAAGACGTTGGGGCTGTGCACCCCTCCACCCTGCTCCGCTGCCTCACTCCGCGTGCGGCATTGGCCCAGCCCCTAGCTGCTCCCCAGCCCCCTGCTCTCTGGCTTTCCTATTGGCCAGTCATAAATCTCCAGTCCCTCTCTGTGCGTCCTTATTGGCCAGCACTAGGCGGAGGCGGAGCTCAGTGTGCTGCACGTGCTTGCCGCGTGCAGCGCCCGCGTTTAAAAAGCCGCAGCAGCGCTCGATCTGGTCTCTTCCTCCTTCTCTGTCGAGCTCCGGTTATGGCTTTGCAGGGCTGCTCAGCTCCCGGCGCCGACGACTGCGGCCGCAGGAAGCCCCGCATGGCAGCGTCGCTACAGATCAGCCCTGCTCCCAGCCCCTGGCGGCCTTTGGCTAGCCCGGGTCTGGACGTCTGGGGACCCCTGCGGGGCCCCGAGGCGGCGGAAGCTCAGGGGTGTGGGCGGGCCCAGGACTCCACCGCGGCGGGGAACTGCGGGCCCGGGGCCGAGGGCTTCAAGGAGCGCGGGGACGTGCGGGCTGGAGACGACGCGGGGGACCGACTGGGGCCGACCCCGAGGGTTTCCGTGCCACCCACAGGGCCCGTGGGGGACTTCCTGAAGATGGCAGGGCAGCTGAGGTTGCCGCCCACGGACCTGCCGCCCGGCCAGGCGGTGGCCTTGCTGGCGCAGTACGCGGCGGGGCTGGGCGCCAGCCTGACTTTCCGCGAGAATCCGGCAGCAGGTCAGGTGGGGCAGGGACTGGGATGGGGAGGGCAGCGTCTCAACTGGGGTCCAGGGGACACAAGAAAGGCATGGGGGCTGGGCTTGCGCCTGGGGCCTCTAGGAAGGCCCTGCGGTCTCTGGGCCCCCCAGAGATCTTTGAGGGTCAGATGAGACAGGACCGTGGCTTGGGTGAGTGTTATTTGCACCCACCGCTTTTTTTGGGGGTGCTCAGGATCTTGCTGTGCAGTTTGGGGTGGTCTTGAATTCATTCTGTAGCCTAGGCTGGCCTCGAGCTTGCACTGATCCTCCTGCCTCAGCCTGTGGCTTAGGGATGAACACCCCCAAACAGCTGCACACCGTTTTAAAGGTTCAGAGATACGCAGCTGCCATTGCCGCCCCAGCATAGGAGATTCCTGACCTAAAGCTACTGAGCATGGTTTGGTAAGGGCAGTGCTATACCGTACCCCACAGCCCAGCTGGAACTATGACCAGTCCTTTTCTTAAATACACCCCGCCAGCCCCCCCAACTGAGAGTTCCAGTGTGAAGGTTCATTTCGGACACCACACTCCCTACCGAGAGTGTGATAGTGCCTTTTGCTTAAGGACATGCTACAGAACTATTGTACAGTGGTCAACTTTGTGGAAGTTTTGTGGGTGTTTTGCTAGTGGGAATCAAACTGAGGGCCTCACGTTTGCCAGGCAGGCACTGTACCCCTGAGCTAAATCTCAAGTCCCTAACTTGCGGAAGTTTAATAAATACAACTCAGGTTACTACTCATGGTCTCGCCTTCTCTTTCTCTTTCTCCTTTCTTTTCCTGTCCTTAGCCATTTTTGTGGTACTGAGGATTGAATCCTGGGCCTTCACACTGAGCTCCATGGCCAGCCTTTTTAAAAATTTTATTTGAGACGGCCTCTTACTAAGTCACTAAGGTGCTGGGCTGGGCTCAGGTTTGTGATCCTCCTGATTCAGCCTCCCAGAGTGCTGGGAGTCCAGGTATGCACCACCACACCCAGTCTCACATTCACATTTTGTAACTGCAACAGCAGTGCCCTCGCAGCCATTTCGCCCCCTTCACAGGGTGACATAATACGTTGGCCAGCCCTTCTTTAACCTTCTATCTAAGGCAGTGGTTCCCTCTTTTGTCTTGTGTGATCTTGATTTCTTAATTTTCACCTTTATTAATGTTACATGTTTACAGCACAGGCTAGTTGCATCCGTCACAGGGAGTTGGGACCTGTACGTGACGCCTCTAAATTCTTTTCCCCTCCTCTTCCCCTCCCCTGTCTTCCATCTCTCTCCCCTTCCTCCATCTCTCAGTAATGGGTGTTTGGAATTGTAATGGCCAGTGAGTGGTCTTGTTGCCTGTCCTTCAGTTTGGACATCTGTGTTCTTAGGCTCAGTCCAGTGTGCCTTGTAAGGGCGACATCACATCCTCAGCAGCCTTTGGCCAGGGGTCTTAGGATCTCGGTGTGTCTTTCCCTGTCAGTGTTAGTCCTGAGGGTAGGGTGGCATCCGCTGGGAGTCTTCACTTTCCCCTTTGTGCTTACGAAGTCATCTGAGGGGAAACACATGGAGTCCTGTACAGATCCTGCCCTGGAGCACAGTTACTTTGTGGCTTTAGCATCCAGATGCAGTGTCTCAGTCGCTCATCTCTCCTTGCTGGGACAAATACCCGACACCCAAATGAAGGAAGGAGAGGTTTATTTAGCTCACGGTTAGTGGAGGTTTCAGTCCATACCCAGCTGGCTCCAAGGCAGAGCGGCTCATGGCAGAGGGCAGCCGTTCATGGCAGCAGCAAACAGCAAAGAGCAAAGGGAGGGGCAGCAGCACCCACAGCTAGCCGGCCTCTCTCCCCTCACACTGTAATGCCGATTGCCTGCCCTGGAGCAGTGCAGCACCCACACCCACAGTAATCAGTCCCAAGCTCCAGAAGCTGCCCCTGACTGCATGAGGCTTTGGAGTGACAACTAGACATAAACTATAACACAGTCATTACAGATTTGGTTATTGCTTCAGTGGTGGCCATACCGTGGTTTCTAGTGGCGATGTTCTTTCTGCATGCACCAATGCTGTACTTACTGCTTTGACATGCTTTGGGTTGGTGCATCTCAGTGCCAAGCAGGGGTGCCAAGGTGGGCCCCCTTCTGAAAGGCCAGGCCCCTGAAGAGACAGGATGTGAGGGCAGTCTGGCTGCGCTGGGTTGATTCGGCTGGTCTGTCTGGGGAGGCGGGTGTCCCCTCCCTTCCTCCCTCAATGCTCCATGTGCATTCCTCCCTGCATGCTTGGTTGAAGAAGAAGACCAGCCCAATAGAGGAGGACTGGTCCTTGGTCAGAGCTATAGGAGCGGCGGCCCTCTGCTGCTAGGACCTCCAAACACGCTCTCAGGAGGCAGCTTCGCAGCGAGTTCTGTGAGCTGATTGAAGCGCCCGCCCTTTTGCCAGGTGGCCTCAGTTCTAGGATTTTCACGTCTTTGTCTTTCTATGAGCAATACAGGAAATGGTGGCATTAGAGAGAGAGCTTCCCAATTTGGGATCCCTGGGGAGCAAACAAAGGAAAGCACCTTCAGGCAGGAAGCCACTGCGCTCTCAGGGACCCTGGCCCCAAGACAGGCACAGCAGGGACTCCAGCAGGAGCAGAACCTGAATCTGCGTCCTGGCTCTTCCTGGGGCAACTCCCCATACAGTAGAGTCACAGTGATATGGTCCTCAGCATCCCCAGTGAGGGAGTGTTGGCTCTCACTTTGGTTCTGTCACTCTGGGTGTCCTGCAGTATGTGTCCGGAGGCAGCCTAGGTATAAGTGGTTGTGGGTCCTTTGGGGCAGGGTGTGGCAGCCCCTCCTGAAAGGGCTCCTCCCTCATGCCTTCCTTCCCCAGGTCCTGGATCCCGCTTCTCTGTGTGCGCAGAACTGGATGGGATGGTGTGCCCTGTGGGCACAGCAGGCACCAAAGCAGAGGCTGAACAGCAGGCGGCGCTCGCTGCCCTGTGCTACATCCGGAGCCAGCTGGAGAGCCCAGGTGAGCCCCAGGCACCCCCAGCATCCACAGCTGGGGGCGTGGGCTGACTTCCTGCTCACAGACCTTGGGATCCTGGCCAGTGGGGCCCGCACAGCAGAGTGAGCAGAGCAGCTTGGGGGCCTTTCTGTCTGGAAGTGGCAGCTTCCCTCCTCTTCTCCCTGGCTTCCTGCAGACACCCATGGTAAGCAGCTCCCCTGCCTCTCTTTCAGAGACCCCCAAGGTCCCTCGCCAGCCTCCAGTCACCACTCCAAGCATGGGTAGGTTGGTTCTTGTCCCAGGCTCTGGATGAGGGGAGGCAGGCAAGACCTGTGGGCCCCACTGCTGCCCTTTGGCCCTTGTGCAGAGAACATCCTGCCCCATGAGCAGCGCTGTGCGGCCGTGGTCAGTGCTGGCTTGGACCGCCTGCTGGGTGAGGATTCGCCATATTGGGCCTGCGTAGGGACAGTGGCCGCAGTCATCCTGGAGCGCGGTAGGACTGTCACTGTTCCCTGTGCCCTTGGCAGACCCCACTGGGCTCCTGCTCTGGGCTGACCCTTCTGTCCTCCCTGCACAGAGCTCCCAGGTGCCGAGGGCCACACCAAGGAGATCTATGAGTTGGTGGCACTGGGCACAGGCAGCGGCACCTGTGCCGGCTGGCTGAAGTTCTCAGGCCGGCAGCTGCACGACTGTCATGGTCTGGTCATTGCCCGCCGGGCCCTGATAAGGTGAGGGCAGGTGGGTCGGGCTTGGCTGCAGCCCTGTGAGACAGCGGTACCAGCTGGTCCTCTGCCTGTCTCTCCAGGTTCTTCTTCCGGCAGCTGTTGCTCGCCACTAAGGGGGGTCCCAAGGGCAAGGAGCAGTCTGTGCTGGTGCCCCAGCCAGGGCCTGGGCCGCCTTTTGCTCTCAAGCCCCGGATCTTCCTGCACCTCTACGTCAGCAACACCCCTAAGGGAGCAGCCCACGATGTCTAGTATGTGGTACCCCCAAGGGTGGGGGGGTCCCTCAGTTTGGCTGTCTGAAGAACCACAGTCAAAATGTACTCTGTCCTCTGCAGCCTCCCGCTGTCCTCAGAAGATGGCCTCCTGCTCAACTCCTCCTTCCGCCTGCAGGCCCACATCTGCGGGCAGCTGAAGCCAGTGTCCTATGTGGCACACACGCTCCGTGACACCCACGTGGGCTGCCTGTCAGTCAGTGACAAGCTGGCGCGCTGGGTGGTGCTGGGGCTGGGTGGTGCGCTGCTGGCCCACTTCCTGCCACCGCTCTACGCCACTAGCCTCATCTTAGGTGAGGGGCAGGCAGGAAGCCGGGACTGAGTGGACCCTTGGAGTTTGGGGGTGGTGCTGACTATATTCTGTGCCTCTGTCCCCAGCTGACACCTGCCATGATCCTCAGACTCTGAGCAGGGCCATTCACGACCGGCCCAACCTAGACAGCACCTTGGGGTCATGCCTGCCGCCTCCCTATGCCCGAAGCACCCTGCATCTGTTTTCAGGACCCTCTGTAGCACCCTCCAACCTTGACCCCAACACCTCGCACAACCTGAGCCTTAACTGGAGCCTGGGGGACCCTGACATGGAAGTTGTGGATGTGGCCAGCGGTCGTGTGGAGGCTGAGTGAGAAGAGCCCCATGGAGCTGTGTGGAGGGGGGCCTGAGGTCGGGTCCCCACCTGCTGCCTGGAGGAGGGGGTGAGGGCATGCATAGTTCTCACCTTGGCTCAGCCCTACCCGGGTGGTGGCAGTGGCCAGCACCTTGTGATTTGGCCGTGCAGTCACAGGATGGAAGCAAAGAGTGGGCCAGGTCCACTGCTGTGTTCACCTTTGAACTTCATGTCCCTTGACCTCACGTGTCCCTCTCAGGGTCGCCCCTGGGCCTTCCTCCCGCCTCTGCAAGGCTGCCTTCCTTCGGGCCTTCCGCCAGGCTGCTGCTGCTCTGGGCAAGCCCCACCTCCTGGCCCTGAAGACCTACGAGGCTGCCAAGGTGTGTCCGGCCCCGGTCCCGGCTCCCGCACCAAGCTTCCAGTGCCCTAACAAACACCCTCTTACCTCTCCTGCCCTTTCTGCCCAGGCCGGACTCTACCAGGAGGCTCGCCAACAGCTGTCTCTCCTCCTGGACCAGCAGGGCCTGGGCTTTTGGCCCTCCAAGCCACTGGTGGGCAAATTTGGGAGCTGAGCTGGACTTTCAGGAGCCTGAGATCCTTGCAGTGCCACATCCCTGGGGAAGCCCTTGGGGAGCAGGGAGGGTGTAGGGGTGTGTGGGGTGAATTGGGGCAGGCCTATAGTAGGGGGCGAGGGCTTGGAGGCTGCTGTCTATTTGGGCTTTAATAAAAAATGGTTTGTGAGGTTTTGACGTGTGTGTATGTGTGTGTTAGTGGCACCGGAGGAGGCCTGTTGGTTGGGAGGGGCGTCCTTCACCCCTCTTGGAGAACCCTATGCCTGCTGGACTCTCACCTGGATCTGCTTCTCATACTCAGTGAGTTTTCATGGGCATCAGGTGACACTAGCAGTTAGAAAGGTGGGTCCCCTGCCTTCAGCCTATGTGTGTAGGGGAGCCCTGGCTGCTGGTGGCAGCTTAGGTGTAGGCTGATTGCTCTGGAAGTTTCAGTTCCTTCTTTTCCAGGGTGTGGACAGGGGCAGCAGCCCGGGACACAGAGGCCCATCGTGGCTTGCTGAGAAAGCGCGTGGGTCTGAGCACACGCGGGCTGAAAGGCGCAGGCTGGGCAGGGGCGTGGGCAGTCCCCTCCCTGGAACACCCCGCTGTTGGACCTGGGAAAGCCCTGTGGCTTCCAGAGCCCGTGTACTCCTCGCTGGCGAGGGCGGTGCTGCTCCAGCTCCAGCTCCAGCTCTGCACTGCTCTTCTCCCTCCTCCCCTGTGGGGACCTGGCGAGCCAGGAGGGTATCGGGCATCGTGAGGCACTTGCTAGGAACACGAGGGTGCCTGGTGTAGGTGCGCGCGCACTCCGTTCTGCAGCCCCGCAACCTCGCCGGCCTGGAGTACAGTGGCTTTGAAGTCCCTGGCCCCAGCTGCAGCTCTGGGGCCTGAGGCTCCCTGGTCTCCAGTAGTTTCAGGGTTCAAAGCCACATGGTGCATTGGAGGCTGGCCATGGCTGGCATGGGGACTCATTCCATGTGGCAGCGCAACTAAGCCAGGGGCTGCTCCCCAAGCTGCACGTCTGGGTGGGCCTATGGATTCCTGGGACACAGCAGTGTGTACATGGGCAGAGCGGATAAGGGAGACAGCTGCTCCCACCGTGGCCAGCACTGTGAGATCCACTGAGAGCCGGAATAGACCAAAAGGCTGAGACAATCTCGGCCCATCTCTGTTGCCAGGATGTCCGTCTACTGACCCTGGACGTCAGCTCCTGGTACTTGGGTCTTGAGGCTGGAACCAGAGCATTCCACTGGCCCCTGTGTACTCGGGTTTTGGGTTAGGACGGAAACAGAATGACCGGCCTGCTCAGTCCGTGAGACATGAGACTCCTTGGCCCCCAGTGGCATGAGACAATCCCACATAATCTCTCTGTGAATCTCTGCATCAATAGTTCCTTCAGAGCTGTCATGCAGGGCCAGGTCAGCCGGGCTGCAGATCCCAAGATGGCTGGCTGTGGCCAGCCGCTTGATCTCTAGGCATGTGGTGGACTCCTAGAGAAGTATGGCGGCTATGTAACGTAGGTCCTACGCCCACAGAACCAAAAGTCACCCTGAAAATCAGAAAACATGCAATGGTAGGAACTGCATGTATATGGCCTTTTTCTTGTCCATACAGCATGCCAGCTATTCTGTATTAGGTGTTATGAGTAATATTGAGATGATGTGAAGTATTTGGGAACTTCTACCTCCAGCATCTAAAAACCCAAAACCAGGAAGATGTGCAGGAGACATTGGAACATGACAACACTTTATGTAAGGCACTAGAAATCCTCAGGCTTTTTCTTCTCCAGGGTCCTGGGCCCCATCCATGGTGGCACTGAGGGAGGACAAATCCAAAGCCCTTTCCTACAGCACCACAGTCACCTCCGTGTGGGATGTACCTGTTAGCTTTCCTGTTGCTGGGGCAAAATACCGGACACCTGCCCCTTGGAGCAGGAGAGGCCTCATTAGGCTCACAGTTTAGAGCATCTCAGCCTATGGTTGGCTGGTTCCAGGGCAGGACCATCAGGGCAGAAGCCTGCGGTGCAGGAAAGTCGGTAGCCCATGGCTGCTGGGAAATGGGGCAAAACCTCCTGCAAGAACCTTACCCTCCCAGCCCAGGGCCCTCCACAGGCTGTTCAGGAAAACCTCCCTGCACTCACAGGAGAGGTGTGACTGCTAGGTCATTTGGTGGTATGGTTGGAATTGGAGAGATAGAAGAGGCCTTTATTGAGGCTGAAGACATGGAAAGAACCCAAGGGGGGTGGGGGATCCTCTGACCTGAGACAGTGGGAGGCTGAGGCTTTCTGGGCTTGCCAGAGGGAGGGTGTGAGAACAGGTTTAGCGACACCCAAGGAGCTGACTGGGGTCTCCCTGTGACGCAGGAAAAGTGAAAGGAAATTGTATCCAGGTCTGTGGTGAGGAAGAAGGAGGAAGTGGTCTTCAGGAAGATAACTGTTGTTTTGGGGCTTCAGCCATGTTAGATGACCACCCGGTGAGGAAACTGCAGGGTGAGGCTGGGCCCCTTCTGGAAGTCTGCACACAGACCGTGCTACCTGATGTTTGAACCCTGCTCCCCTATAGAGAGCCCTTCCTGATCCTCCTCTCAGTCTGGGAGGCTTATATTTGTAATCCCACAGATAAATTATTGGAATCCCATCAAGTTAATTCCAATCTACCACTTCCAGTACAACCCAGAGCAAGAAGAAAGATATTAAGGCACATTTGTAGCTATGGGGAGCCAAGGGGTCTTAGGTCCAGCCGTGAGGATGGCCTCCATCCAGGCTGAGCCTAGGTTTTATTCCTGCATGAAGAAAGGAGTGGCTTGGGGCTGAGTGGCTGAGAGTGCAGGGAGATAGGTGAGCGCCATGGGCTGGGCTGGTAGGAGGCCTGCATTCCCCTCTGCAGGACGCAGAGAGGAGGAGATGCAGAAAGAGTGGTCTCTACAACGCCATGGAGACGGCAGTTGCGTTTGGGGTCCATGCTGTAGCGCTGATGTGTGATCTTTCAAGCCCCGTGCAGTCGTAGCCTCCGTCTCGAGACTGACCCCAGCGGACACGTGGAGCACTGGCTCTACATCCAGCCTCCTTGCAGCTGGCACAGGGAGCGGCAGGTGGGGGTGCAGGGAAACACGTGGGCCGTCTTGAAGGCCCACCATCAGCGCCTCGGCTGGACTGATCGGCACTGCTTCAAGCCAAGTGAAGGGATAAGGAAAAGTCCTTGCCAGCTCTGTACCTATCAGTACACGGAAATAGGACCAGCCTCAGTCAAAATGGAGACAACTGCTCCTCTTCCAGGGAGAGCCACCCAGGTGGTCCTCCACACCCCCCACCCCGTCACTGCCGGGGCTGCTACTGGATTCCCTTCCATGACATTTGACATAACCTTACTTCTTTGACCTCCAATTGACTGACTTATAAAAGGAGGACTGGGTGATGTCATTGCTGAGGTCCCTTTCTGGCTTACCCACTCTCTGCTCTGCCCTTTCTTGAAGGACACAGGAGGGCAGGAAGAGGCCAGCTGCCGCCCAGGGCTGAAGCTGCAGGCTATCAGGCAGGTGACATCAGAGCTAGAACTCCATCACTAGGGTGAGAAAATGGGTGCTGGGAGGTGGGAGAGGAGTCTAGCAGGAGGAGCCACCAAGGTGAGTGACAAGTGCTCTGGTTACTAGGGGTGGGGGTGTGAGCCCCTGCTGAGGCAGAAGCAGGGGGGAGGTCAGAACCGGCCTCAGGTATTGTTCCTCAGAACTCAGGCCAACTTTGAGATAATTATGTCCCCTGCTTATAACTTTGCAGTGTTTTGGGAACACCCAAGGCCTGTCTAGTAGCCCGTTTATCACCCGCCGCTCACCCCGGGAGATAATTTAATTTGATTGATGATCCATTCTGCAATGGTGAAGAAATACACCAGCCATCCAGACTGCAGCTTCGCGCAGTGAGCTTCGTGGTGTGCATCCATCACATAATCGCTGGGTGAGCAAGTTTGCCAAGATGACAGCAATGCTGCCCGCCAAACAAGCATGCCGCGTCCCCAGGGCGCAGATGCTGCCCGCCCAGCCTTCTCCTCCCCGGGCGGGCAGACGTCTCACTACACAGCACGTGCTTGTTTCTTTGCCTCAGCGTTTTTATTGTAGCAGGGTGATGACGAACACCACTTTTGCAACGCAGAGTCTGTTAATGTCTTCTTGGCCTGATGCCCTCCAGGTGACGTTTTGCCAACAATGGCATCTTTAAATTGGGAGTGATGTGACCTCACTTGGCACTCAGGAGCACTGTTTCCTCAGAGGCCTCCCTGACCCCACCTTTCTTCTGGAGTCTTGGCTGGACTCTGGGCACCTTTTGTGCTTCACTGTCCCTGGTGTCACCAAATGGAAGGGCAGACCTGGGAGGCCTGTGGGCCACTCACCTCAGTTTCTCCATCCAGCAAGCGAGTGAGAACCATTTCCAAATATGCAGGCCGCAGGGTTGCGGTAACATTCAGAGGGAAGTGGGCTGGATCTGTTCCTGGCTCCCAGAAGCCCACGGCAGAGGCTGTCATGGGACCTATGTCTGCTGTCACCCCTGGGTGGGACTGTCACTCCCCTCTCTCCATTCCCTCTTGTGGGCGATCCCACAAAGCGCCTGACAGACGAGTGCTGAGTGGAAACTGGCACACAGGAGCACCTCCTTACAGATGGGGTCCAGACAGAGTAGGACCTTATTCTAGATCAACAGAACTGTGAAACCCCTTTGAAAATATCCCTCCGACAGAACTAGTCAATAAGTATGTTCTGAGAAGATAGAGTCCAGCGAAGAGGGTCTGCAGAATTATCATCCTGCTCCATGTTCAGGAAATTAGCACTTAAAAACATAAAATATGGTTCTATAGAATATTGACACAACATTCATTCCTGGATCCACATGGAGAGAGTGCGGGTGGGTCTTTCCTTATACACCATGCACAAACAGGCCTGGCTCAGGCCATGCACCTAACATCAGAGCTGAAGCCGGGGCTGCGGGCCACTCCCGGGCTGCAGCTCCTCCCCGGGCTGCAGCTCCACCCCCTCCCCCCTTCCCCCTTCCCCCGACACTCTGCCA